CATGTGGTTTAAAATGTATGAGTTGTTATTTTTGAAATTTTTTATTTAATATTTTCCTACCACAGTTGACCATAGGTAACTGAAACTATGGAAAGCAAAACTGCAGATTAAGGGAGACTACTGTATTTCTTTATAAGAAGCGTTGAATCAAGTTTTTAGAGGACATCTCCTGATTTTTAACAGTTGTCAACTTATTTAAATATTAAAACACCACCACCATTGTCTTAGTCTGTTCAGGCTGCTATAAAAAAATACCACAGGCTGGTGGCTTACGCAGCAAACATTCATTTCTCACAGTTCTGAAGGCTGGGAAGTCAAGATGAGGGTACGGCAGACCGAGTCTGGGAGACTTCTTGGGTCGTGGACAACCACCTGCTCATGCTCTCACTTGGTGGGAGGGATGGGAGAGCCCTCTTTGGGGTCTCTTTTATAAGGGCACTAATCCCATTTATGAGGGCTCCACCAGCATCGTGACCTACTCACCTTGCAAAGGCCCCACCTCCAGATACCATCACACAGGGAGTTAGATTTCAACATGAACTTTGGATGGGGTGGGGGAGTCATAGAACATTATAGGTTTATAGCACATACCTACAAAAAAAGTCACAAAAGCAAATTGGGATGAAGTATGGAAAGAGGATTTTTGGCCCCAAATTAGAGCAAAGAAGGTCACCTGCAGGACTAAGGAATGAAGCTATTGGCCCCTTGCTGCTCCTTGAAGGACAGAAAAAAAATTCCTTTAAACAAAGTCAGTTGGAGAAGTTGGGAAGATTGAGCTCTCCAGTCGCTGCATTTGCAGGGTGTGCTGAGACCACAGGTGGACGGCATGCAGACCTGAGGGCTGGGATGGGGACTGGGGACAGGGACAGGCAGGGTCTTCACAGGGTGGAGAAGGGAGTGTGTGAATTGGATGAGTCCTGAGTCAGGATTCAAAGAAGGTAGGAGACATAGTAATAACACAAGGAGTTGGGAGGGCGGGAAGGGAAGAATGTGTTTGGGTCAAGACAGCCTGGGGAGCAAAACTCTGGGGGCTGGGAAGTGAGCTTAGGGGGTGATGGGAGGACATGGCCCCAAAATCAATGCAACTTCTGTTTTAGGCTCTTCTCTTATTTGCATTCTCTCTATGATCTCATGGTTTTAACTACTCCCTCTGTGCCAGTAAACTTCAAATCTCTGTCTCTGGTTCATATAGTTTCTTACCTCCAAACACACACAGACAACTGCTTACTAGGGCTGTACACTGGGTTGTCTCAGAGACGTTTAAATCCCAACATCTCTTACTATAATTTGATGTCACCCAGAACATTCACAGCAGTTTTGTTAGCCAAAAAAGTGAGGACACAAAAGCCCATAAACGGGAGAGTGGATAAATGAACAATGTATATGACTCAGCAATAAAAGCAGTACACTCCTGGTCATGCGGCAACAGGGATGGATTTCAGCGATGGTACCACGAGGGAAGGAAGCCTCCTCTGTAAAGGGAAACGTGTTTCCCTCTCATGATACTTCACTGAGCAAGTGGGGTTTTACACCATGCCATCCTTCCATTCTCTGCAGACACTAACCAGGTGGCCTACAATTTAATTCACTTCTGTCACTAACTACCTGGAGTTAGCACAGCCCCACAGGTAAAGGGCTCAGTCCCATAAGACTGCCCCCACTTGAGACTCCAATCACAAATAGTGGGTCTCCAGATTACCCACACTTCTGTCTGGCTGGGCCACAGATCGTGGCTTCCCAAGACCTCTCTTCAGGTTCGGCAATTTGCTATAATGGCTCACAGAACTCAGGGAAGCACTTTAGTTACGCTGGCTTATTATGCGATATAGGATATGATGAAGGATACAGAAGAACAGCAGGGTGAAGAGCTACATGGGGCGAGGTCCAGAAGGGTCCCAAGAGCAGGAGCTTCTGTCCCCGTGGAGTTGAGGTGCACCACCCTCCCAGCAGGTGGATGTGTCCATCAGCCCAGAAGCTCTGCAAATCCCATAGTTGGAGGAAGTTTATGAGGCGTCATTATGTAGGCATGATCGATCGATTATTAACTCAATCTCCAGCCCAGGAAGATGGGGGCTGAAAGTTCCAAGCTTCCAGTCATGGCTTGGTCCTCCTTGGGGAAGCCTCCACTCAGGAGACGTTCAGGAGCCCACCAAGAGTCCCCTTATTAGAAGAAAAGATGCTCCTGTGACCCGGGAATTCCAAGGGTTTCAGGAGCTGTGTGTCAGGAAAACCTGGGGCAGAGACCAAAGATATATTTCTTACTTTGTCAACTCTATGATTCTGTTTAGGTGAAGTTCAAGAACCAACAAAAGGGACTTTCAAGGGTGGCAGTCAGAAGAGGGACTCCCTGTGTGGGAGGGACGGACTGGAAACGAGCTTCCTGGGGGTGGTGAAATGTCCCATATCTTACTGGGGGTTGGGGTTACTTGTGTGTATATATTTGCCAAAATTCACAGAACTGTACACCTAGGATTTGTGCATGTCACTGCATCCACCTCAGCCTTTAAAACATCAGTTACAAAAAGAAAACAATGGTGGATGCTTTGTCAGCAGGACAAACGGAAGGACCGGGAAACTACTGCGGAGACCACCTAAACCTTGCAGTTTTAAGCCACTGTAGGGAAGGCGAAATGTCTTTACTGCAGTCAGACTGGTCCCTCTTCCCACCCTTCAGCTCACGCTTTCAGACGTGCCCCTCCTCCGGTTCTCATCTCAGCGGAGAGCACCCCCACCCTCCCGGGTGCTCAAAACACAAGGAGAGCTGCCCTTCACTCCCGATCCCTCACCCAATCCCTCACCCAACCCGGATGTGCGGGTCTCCCAGGTGGGTCCACTTCCTCCCATCTGCACTGCAGACACCAAGCTCAGGCCCCGCCACTGCTCACCTTGATGACTGCAGTTACTTCCTAACGGTTTCCAAACTAGTTTCCTCTAAATGAGTCTTCACTGAACTCAGAGTGGTCTTTTCCACGTGATAGGCTCAACCACGCCCCTTCGAGAACCGTGTGCGCTCAGGATCAGCCCAAACTTCTTGACAGGGTTTGCGAGGTCCTTCTCACCTCCTGGCTGCACCGGCCATATCTGCCTTGTGCTCTGTGCTCCGGCCAAATGGAATAGGGTTGTAGTTCTCTGAATGTGCCTTGTTCTCTGCTCTGTCAAGACTGTTTCTGCTGCTGACTCTAAGTTCTTTACCTGGATAACTCCTAAATACATTTTGGACACAGTGCAGAGGGCCCAGTTCCTGCTGGAATGCAAAGTCTTGGAGCATCTGTGTCTGCTTCCATCCCGGTTGGAGCTTGAGAATCTAGGGTAATACCTGGCAAGTAGCAGGCCCTCAATAAGTATTTCTGAATGAATGAATGAATGAATGAATGAATGAATCTCCCCTGATACTCAAAACCCTGGAAAGCTTTTTGTTGCCTCTTTGTCTTCTAGAGACAAGTGAATAATGCAACAACAATAATATCTACCATCCACTGAGCATCTACAAAGTGACAGGGATGGTGCTGAGAACTTTGTGATACACTTTCTCATGTCATTAACTCATTTTCTTGGAAAGGGACTGAGGTTTAGAAAAGTTCAGTAACCAAATGCAAGTAAGTGCCTCTCTGTGCTGAGCAGACCTCATGGCGCTTGCGTTCTAGACTATACATTGAGAAACAAGTAAATATCTGGTTTTTAAGGTGGTGAGAGATATGGAAAAAATAAAGGGGAGGGAAGGGCTCTCCTAGAGGTGAGGGAGCTCTGGGGAAAGAACTCCAGGCACAGGAAACAGCAAGTGCAAAAGAGGCAAGAGCTTGTTTGATACTTTCAGAGAACAGCAGCAAGGCCACTGTGGTGGTTGCAAGGAGAAGGGGCTGAAATCAGAGTGTGCAGAGGGGCCAGGTTATCTGTGGCCTTTGCCTCTTTCTCTGACAGAGACAGGAAGGTCTGGGATGTTTGGGTGGAGGGTTGTTGCAAGCTCAGGATCACACAGCTTGTCCACTGCCAGAGTTGGGATTCTAAGCTGAGCTTTTAATGCCACAATTTTCTGACTGCTAAAAGCAAACCCAGTAACAAGGTCCTGGTAGCTGCAGGTCTCACTGCTGGTCTCCTACTCTCTCCTTGTCCCAGAGCATTCGCTGCCGTCTGAGTCACGACTTTGCTGCTCACAGAAGCAGGTCCCTCCTCCATCACACTGAGGACCAGAAACGACATTAGTTGTCAGGAAAATTGTGGAGAATGAGGAATAGTCTGTGCCCTTGAAATTTTCAGGGCACTGGGGGAAACAAGTGAATAGACCGTTATCCAACATAAATAGGAAGTAAAATGAATAAAGGGAGTAAATAGGGACACCTAGTCCAGACACGGAGAATCAAGGAGGGCTTCTCTGCAGAAGTGAAATGGGGGTAACTAAGTTTGTAAAGGAAGGGGAGAGAATAGCCATCCTCATAACAACAAGAGCATGTGCAAAGGCCCTGAGGTGGGAGGTGAAAGAATGAAGCTGGGTTGCAGGGAAGAAGGACCAGAGAAGTGATGAGATTGGAGAGCCAGGTAGGGCCTAATCATGCTGGGCCATATTGGCCAGTAAAAGCTCCAAGGTCTTTATCCTAAAAATAATGGGTCACCATTGAAGCATTTTAAGCAGGTGGTGACTCAGTTGGGTGTGAGGAAGTGGGAGCCATCTCTGTGTGCATGTGAAGCCCAGAGTGGAGGGAACCAAGGGGTTGGTGGTCCAGGTGAGAGGTGATGGTACATGATGTCAGTGGAGATGGAAAGAAGATGAATTCTAGAGGCGGCGAGGAGTAAAAGCAACTGTTTCTGTGAGACGTGAACTACAAGAGAAAGGCGGTGCCAAGGATGACCTCCAGGTTGCGGCCTTGCAGAGTGGATGTTGGCCATGCTTTTCACAGGGATAGGGAGGGGGGCAAGGCGTGAGCAGCAGGAACCATAGCATGCAGTGTCTTCCTACAAAGGCAACGTCAAACCCTAATGATGTGTTTGTGTGTTTCCCCCTCCAGAGGGCCAAGGTCGGCCAGGGAACCAAGGCTCAAGAAGAAAAGACCAACACCATAGCCAAATTAGACAACAATGGGAACAGAGACCGGATGAAGCTGAGTGATTTTAACTTCCTGATGGTGCTTGGGAAAGGCAGCTTTGGCAAGGTACAGTGTGATTTGGTGACCATACCTGCTCCAGAAGAAATGACTAACAAGGCAAACACATTTGCTGTTCATATGGGATTTCCATTCCAGTGAGGGAAAAAATTAAAAACTAAACAGGTCCACACTGCGTTTTGTAGTGAACACTGTGAAGGAAGTGAATAGAGTGCTGTGCCACAAACAAATCAAGAGGGGACCCACTCAGACTGTCAGAGGAGGTGACATACAAACTGAGACCTGAAGATGAGAGTGAACAAGCTCTGCATTCAAAGAGCTAGTTGAGAACAGTATGTGCAAAGGGCCTGAGGTAGGGAGGGTTGGTGTATTTTAGGTACTATCAGAAGGTGTTGAAGCCAGAAGGTCATGCGCAAGGGAGGTAGTAGGGTGTGAGGTCGCAGAGATGGGCAGGATCTGATCGTGCACAGCCTTATGAGCTGTGATGGGGAGTTTGCATTTTATTCACAGTGCAGTGGGGAGCCACTGAGAGACTTTAAGCGGAGAAGTGACATGATCAGATTTGCCCTTTGGAAAATATCACTCTTACAGCCAAGAATGGAGACAGTTCATTTCACATAGTGGCACAGTTGAAGGATGACCCTGGGACTCGTTAGAGAGGTTCTGGATGCTTTTATAGATACCGGGAGATGCTCTTTTACTGAAGTTGAGATGGTGTTATAAGTATTTCTGACTTGTTTAGTGTTGTTTTGAGCTTTTTAAGCCCTTTGTGTGCCACAAATATGTCTAGTATAAATCTTGTACCATGAACTCAGGTGTGCAAAAAATATAAATTTCTTCCCTATCTCTGTAGCTTAAGTAAAAATAGGAGAGTTATTCTTGAGTTTCTCTCTCCTCGCTCAAACCGCAGCATGTATAATCAATTGGGGAGTCCTGACACCTGCTTCTCCAAAGCATACCATGAGCTGACTGACTTCCCTGTCTTCGCGAGGCACCCTAGCCTAAACCAGGTGTACCACCTGCACTACTGCAGAAACTCCTAACTGGTTTCCCTGCCTCCACACTTGTGACCTCGAGTTAATATCCCTTTCATTTAGCAGCTGTAGTCATTTCTTAAAATACTACATTACTGCTTACAACACTCCAGTGATGCTTCTTCATAGTTACAATAAACTCTGTACACGTCCTTGGCTTACCTAGTTCTTAATTGTAACCCTTGATATACTCTCTGCTCGATGACTTCATTTTGTTCCTCCCGTCACCCACTCTGCTTGGGCCACAATGGTGATTCTTGGGATTGTGAAACATGCAAAGCTCCTTCCTTGGAGCATTTGTGATGAATGGTTGGCTCCTTCTTGTAATTCCTTTCTCAATTAGATGTCACCTCTTGCAAGAAGCCTTCCCAGACCATCTCCTCAAAGAGCTATTCATTCATTCTCCATTATATTTAACACTCATAATGCCCATCACCAGATGGTACTTTCTTGTTTGTTTACTGGTTTGTCTTCCTTCTTCTAAGATCTGACCTCCATAAGAGCGGGGACCTTCTCTGTCGTAGACACCACTGTACTTCCAGTGCCATCGGTTTAGTTCATTCAGGGCCTAGATTGAATTCATAGATTTTTCTCTATGGGTCATAGGTCATCTGCCAAGGGGGAGTCAGGGATCTGGCCCATGGTTGGGAGTTGAGAGCAGGGACACGCAGTAAGATTGCTGAGCAGTCCCAAGTACCAAACAAGAAGCTGGCAGTGGTAGTGGTGCACACCTCTGCGTGCTCTGTGCCAGCAGCCCTGAGCCGCCTGTGTGGGCGTGGAGACGGGCTGGTGGGTGTGGAGACGGGCTGGTGGGCGGAGACGGGCTGGTGGGCGGAGCGCAGCTAAGGGTGGGGCTTAGAGGCTCCGTGAGCTCGGAGTCTCAGCAATGCCGGCGGTGAGGCTTCGGATGAAGGGTGCCCAGTGCAGACCCATGGAACCTGCTCCTAGCAGGCCTCAGTGGAAGTGGAATGAATCAGTGGATGTACATGGTGTCTGGACTGGGTGGGAAGGAAGTCAGAGTAGGAAGAGGCCAACCTGAGTGAAAAAGGAGTCTGGAGAGCTGGGGATGGAAAACAAATGGATGAGGTTGAAAGATTTAAAATGCCAAGAGCAGACCTGGCCGGTTTGGCTCAGCGGTTAGAGCGTCGGCCTGCGGTACAGAGAGACCCGGGTTCGGTTCCCGCTAAGGGCATGTACCTCGGTTGCAGTTTGTCCCCGGCCCTGGTCGGTTGTGCGGGTGGCAGCCACTCGATGTGTCCCTTCACGTCGATGTTTCTCTCTCTCTCCCCCTCCCACTCTATCTGAACAAAAAATGGAAAAATGTCCTCAGGTAAGGATAAAAAAAAATAAAATAAAATAAAATGCCAAGAGCAGAGGCATTTAGATCCCAAAGATGGGATGGCCTCAGGTAAGGATAAAAAAAAATAAATAAAATAAAATAAAATGCCAAGAGCAGAGGCATTTAGATCCCAAAGATGGGATGGTTTCTGCGACGACAGGAAGAAAAGGCCCAAGTGAAGAGCTTCTAGAAAACGGAAGCTGTTGGAAAGTTTTAAAAAATTATATTTCTACTGAGCAGCATATTCATGGTTCATAATTGAAGTTATATTTAGAGGGTAAATATTGGGAAGGCTTGATCCCACCCAGGTTTACGCCCTTTCCCTGATTCTGCCCTCCGAAAGGTAATGTGTTTGTCCACTTAATCTGCATCTTCCCAGTGTCTTGATGACAATTTAACAAGTTTAAATGTGCGTTTTTATTCTTGGCCTTGTCACTTCAAAAGTGAACAGTATAGGTTGCAGAGTGTTTGACTGAGGAGCGGAGGCTCCGGAGGGCCTCATGGGCAGGGCTCGGGGGTGGGGGTGGGGGTGGAGATGGGGAGAGTGGGTCTTTGGGGAACAGGGAGGGAACGAGAGAAAATAGATGATATATTTCCATGGAAACTGTTACAGTAATGGAGAGTTCTGTTTCAGACGGGGGTGTGGCATCAAATAAATGGCAGATGACTACAACAGTATGTCACGAAAGCACCTGGACAACAAAAACCTCTGAACCTCCAAACATGTCGTAACCCTTGACCACGTTTAACATTCTGCAGTCTTGTTAGACAGATAGATCAGTCCCTTAAAAGGAAGAGCACAGCGGGGTAGTTGCTGTCCCCTTCCCAGAAGTGAGGGAGATGATCTTTGGGGTGACCTGTTCACCCCTCCCCTGCCCCACACCCCGCCCACTGCACCAGATCTGGCCAGGACAACCTGCTCTGGAGCACCCTGATAGTCTATGGACTGACCAGGGAGCCACGTAAGCGTGTTGCTGACCCCTGCAGAACCCAAAGGGAGAAGGCACATGTGAAGGCCGCTGAGAGCCTGTTAAGTGAGCCCTGGTCCAACAGCTTTTTAAAAAGAACTGAGTGGAGAGTTTGCTGTCCTGAGCAGGTGAGAGGGTTGACCTGGAGGGCCTCTCGGCATGTCTGGCTCGCTCGGAGGTGCATGCCTTCTGGAGAGTTCAGATGTATTATTCGTTTATTGTTTAATGGATTTTAAAAATATTTGTATCCTGCATTCTTTGTTTGTGATTCCTTGAGCCTTTGATCCCAGCTTTGCCACCGGACACTTCAGGAAGCGCACGGGCGGCTGAGGAATGACCGCTGGAGTTCAGATCGGGCTCCATGTCTTTCCCCGGCAGGTGTGTCCTGTCTGGGTGATTATGTCATGTCCTCGTGGCTCCTGCTCTCACTGAACTTGTCCCTCAACACCTTAGTATGAAAATATCTTTTTTTAATTCAGAAACGTTGAAAGAATATGTAACGAACATCCATAAAACCCATTACCCTGCAATTAATTGCAGGTCCTGCAATTAACATGGGACTGTATATCCCGTATCACATATCTGTCCACCTGCTTGTCCCTAGGTCAACCCACTTCCTAATGCATTTCAAAGGAAGCTGCGGACATTGGTACACTGTACCCCTGAACTCTTCAGCATACATGTCATTGAGCCAGAATTCAATATTTGTTTATGACTATTTTAAGGTAAAATTTACATACAGTGAAGGTCACAGATAATTATATCAGCCTATGAATTTTGAAAATTGCATATTTTGAAACCCCTTGGGGGTGTGCACATTGGTCTAAAAAGTCACACAGATGAAAAGTGCTGCTGAGTTGAATGTGGGCCTGGAGAGCCTGCGGAGTGGGCGTGGCAGGGAGGCCGCCCTAACTGAGTGACTCCTGAGCTCTGCCTAGAGGACCAGTTAGCTGCGCGGAGGGGCGGGTAGGGGAGCTCTCAGAATGCCTCTCTCCGAGCACACCACGCACCAGGTTCGGTTGATCTGTGTGGCAGCCGGGACACCTAAGCTCCTTTATTGGCTAGGGTGGATTCAAGGGCTGTAACACGCACCCCCTCCCGGAAACGTGTACTGGCTCAGATCCATAGAAGCTTCATCTTCACTCCTGTGACAGTGCCAGGTGGGTGTTCCCGGCCTTGCCCACGCTCTCCATATGGTGGTTAAGGAACCCAGGTTCCTCCCTCTTCTGTGGCTCCGCTAATTTCTGTGGCCTTGTTTCTGTCTACATTCAGAGGCGGGGGTCGGGGGGAGAGTGTGGAGGAGGCACAGGTTGCTTCTGGAGAGTCTAGTTTGGAAGTGGCACCCATTGCTTCTGCCTGCCCAGTATCAGAGAGTTTAGTCGTATAGCCACGCCTCCGTGCAAGGGAGCTGGGAGAACAGTTCTGGTGGAAAGTTAGTGGTCTTAGCTACACTCTACTTTTCAGCTGCTATTGGAGCTTTTCTTGGGGACACAAAAGACCTTCTGACTTGCCCCTTTAACATTCTCAATTTATCACACTCCACAAACAGAAGACTTTAAGCTCCTCCTCTTGGTGATAGTTCCTTGTGTTCAAATCATGGGACATTCCAGGTGTTAGTGCTGCTTTTCCTGAAGCATAGCATAAGCCAGTAAGAAATCAAGTAGGAAGAAGTTAGTATATGAAATTAAAAGAAGAAACTGGAAAGTC